CGCCGCTGTCTGTGCTCAGAGGTAAGTGTCTTTTCCTTTCTCACTTGTCAGGGCTCTGTCTGCATACCTCTCTGTGAGCAGGGCTGTTGAAGATGCCGTGCTGGCTTCTTTATTCATTCCTGTTTATTGTCATTTTTTTCTGTAGTGTCAATGACCCTAGTAATATGTCGTTGGTTAAAGAGACGGTGGACAGACTGTTGAAAGGCTATGACATTCGCCTGAGACCAGATTTTGGAGGTAATGGGATTGCCTTGCAAATAAGAAACAGCCCGGCTCTAGCAGAAGCTGTCTTTTGGGCTTTGTGTGCGCTCTCTGCCTTCTCCTTAGTTGTGGGTGCATGTGGTGTATGGAATGTTTCCTTATTTTACCATGGTGAGAAATGATCCAAACTTAAGTCAGTTTGTTACTGTCGAGCACTTAAGAGGTCTTTCAAAATGACCCCCTTGGCGTGTAATCAGACTTGGTAACCGCTTTCCATCTCCTTCACCATGATAAATCTTTGCTTCCAATCTGAGTTTTCCTAAGATACAAGCCTCTTAAGTTTACTTAACAGTGTGCCCAGGACTGTCTTGTAATATATTTTTGAGGACAGGGTGTTCAGGCAGTTGGCTGAGAGGTGGCCTCAACTCCCTGTGCCCACATACTTTGGAAGAGTTCTGGCTGTGGTTTAAAGTGGCTCATGTCTGACACCATCCAGTCCCCTAAGGGGAATGGCTTAGGAAAGAATCGGGTCTGGGGGATGGAGAACAGGGATAGCAGAGGGAAATGGACATCTCTCTCCCTCTGAAGCCCCAGATAAGCTAGTGTGAAAATTGAATTTCTCTTCAGACTCTTAATGGAACTAAAGAGTTAAAACCTACACACAGAAGTGTGTGGGTAAAAATGAGAAGGAGGGGGTTTCAATGTAATACACACCAATTCCCAGGGTTAAAACATTGTTCTGCTGCTGTCAGTTGTATGAATTCACAAGCTGATAGAATGACATTTGTAGACACAGCTGGAATCACTATCCCATCAGCACATGTGTACATATTCCTAGAAGAGTGTTCCCCCACTCTTCTTGCCAAGAAGTAGGGAAGTGATGAACCTGAGAATTAACTTTAGAGGGGGATTCAATAGGGTTCCCAGTGACAACTCTTGTTGTGAATGACTAAGTTCTGAGAAGTCACGTGGCTGATCATCTTGATTTGCAGGTCCCCCTGTGGCTGTAGGAATGAACATTGATATTGCTAGCATTGATATGGTCTCTGAAGTCAATATGGTGAGTATTAATGTTCCTAGCTATGCCTCTGCCATCCTTCATTTGGGAATGGGAGAGTGCAGGCATTGGGGGTGTGGTATGCTTGAATATATGTATGGTATAGGGACAGGGACATGGTATTTTGCCCTGGAATTCTGTAGTTACAGAACAACTCCTTCTGGTTTGTTGCCCATTTCCCAAATTGGATTCAACACTGTGTCTGAATACAGAGTGAGTAAAAGACATCACACATGCATTTGTAAAAGGCAGCAATATGCTGGAGGGCCCCTGCAGAATGCATGGTTCTCACAGCTTCTTGAACACCTCCGTTTGTCAAGTGACAATTCTGGATTTGGTGATCAGTCGTGGGAAAAGGAGGATTTGAATGTGACAGGGAGTTTATCTTACAAACTAAACTATCACAAAGAGACTAAGTAATTGATCCTGGAATATTGATGCCCACTTGTTGCTTTGGGGAAAAGCCTCTTTATACTTAACTTCATTCAGCATACCCACCTCCACTGCTCTCCATCTTCTTTAACCTCTTCTACTGTCCCAGTGAGATAAAAGAAATGTCACTCTGTTTCCAAAAGGCAAGCTTAATAGCAAGTGTACTCTTATTGAACCTGCAATGTTAATCATCATATGTACCAACCTCATACAATTTATTGACGATCACACTCAGTACCTCTGTGGATAAAGAGCAAGCACTAAGAAAGAGGGGTGTAGGAAGAACCTGTGTTCTTCAACAGGGAATCACTTTTCTGGGGGGGGCTTGCTTCATGCAGGAGCGCCCCCTGCTGCCCATGTTGGAGCACTGCGGACATGCATGACAAGGACAAGTGTCCCAGATTCCCCCACTTAACTCAGGGGCATTTTGCAGAGTCTCTCTCTCTCTCTCTCTCTCTCTCTCTCTCTCTCTCTGTTTTTCCCTTCTGGAAAGTCTGTCAAGACATACTAAACCTCAATGTGATATTTCAGTATTCCTTCCAGATCTGATAGTACAGGGCACTTTTCAGATCGTTTTATGACATCCTCCTATCCTCCTGTCTTAAAAGTGGATGAATAATTAAAGAAGGAGTTGAAATGTGTAATCTTTTATACGAGCACTTCTAAGCCAGCCATTGGGACATGAAATTTAGGACATACTAATTAACTCAAGAAGTTTGAAGTATTAGAATTTAGTCTGGCTCTCATATCAACTTGACAGAAGTTCCCAGATTCCCAGAAATCAAAGAGGCAACTCATATAGCAATCACAGGTGCCAGACAGTAATGACCTCAAGGCATCATACGATTCTGATCATTTTACAGAAACTCAAGGGTGACAATCAACTAATTCAGCAGTGGGTTAACAACAGAAATCACACTGTAATAATTTTTTTATTGTATGGCACACACACACAGAAGAAAGACATTTCTCAGATTTGCAAATATTTGCTTTTGTAGGATTTGAGAAGTCTTCCATCAGTTTAGATGTTTCGAATATGAACATAAAAATAGAAAATGTCCTAATCTGGGTACTTCCGTGATCTAAATTATGGAATGACTCTAAATTGAATTTCTAAGCTGCTAACTTGAAAGTTATATAGAAATCAAGTAACGTTTTGTGTTCTCTAATTGTGGTTGCATTAGATTCCTATCTCATCTATTTTCTTTTTGATGTATGCTCCTCTTCTGCAATAAAATATTATTTTACCAACTGCTTCTTTAAAATATCACAAAATAATAATAAATATAGAAAATAAGATAAAAGCATCTAAAAGATGAAACAATGCTCAGTAAATGACCAACTCCAGGTTACTACAATAGGTTAGGTAAGGAATTGGATGCATTATATCCTTACATGGGGTAGATAGAGTGGTAAACTTTGATTTTCTTCATGAATTCCTTTGACATTTCCCCCCTGCATGTACCATTTTGGAGTGGTATCAGAGGTGGACACAATGCCAAGACCTGCTAGTCAAAATATAGATCCAGCTGAGGTAGGGTGTCATCACATTGAGCTATTTACTGTTGCAGAGAAGTCATGGGATGTCGAAAGTGCAAAAATAAATGTCAGCTTGTAAATGGGACAACATTGTAGCATTAATGATTTGAAGCAAGTGTGAAAACTTCCAAGCCAGATTCCTTTCTTAGCTTAATGCTGACACTCATGGATTTGTCCAGCCACACTTGGAGCTGTCGAAAACCTTATATTTACTTCAGCCACCAGTCTTGTTGACCTAAAATTAATCCTCCAAAGAATATTTTATAGCATATGTTGCTATTACCTTGTTTCTAAATATGACTATTCCCTTGGAAGCAACAGATGACTTAGACCCCTGTTGGTAGCTCAATATAAGATGTTCATTGCATATTGTATAAAGGCCTATAAGTGTTGGGCTATTTTAGTTATATTTAGTATCTAAAGAATGGTTGATTATTTATTTAAGTGAAACCTCAAAGTTGATTAATAAACAGATTTCTTCTTCAATTTGGCTTGTGAACTAGTATCTAGTAACTCTTATTATGTGCATCTGCCTCTGAAGAATGAGATTCCCTAGATCATTCACTCATTTGAACAGAAGGAATAAAAGGTCTGTGTTACTGTGATTTCTTTTCCTTTCTTTTTTCTGGTCTTGTTTTTTTGTTTTGTTTTGCTTTACAGATGACAATGGTAGAAAGATTCTGATCTGGCTCAAAGGTGATAGATGCCAGCTCTATTTCTTAGTCACACCTAGTTTATCCACAGTCACAAAGGTCTCAGTTTCCTTAAGTGTCAAAGGAGACCAATAGTTCTGTTCTACCATCCCAGATAAATACCAGAATTAGGAAAATGGCATTGGATGCACTTAACTTAATGATGAGCGAAAACCAGGCAAGCATTCAAGGTACCTAGTATTCACTCCTGCTTCTTACCTATGTTTCTGTGAGATGGTCCTGCACCTCAATTAGATTGCAGTTTCTCCATGGTTGAAATGAAAAGGACATGTTTAGTTCACTTCCATCTCCAAGTTACACATGTCTCTAGTTATGCTTGTCTGTTATGGTAACTGTTACATACAGAAAAGTTTCAGGAAAACTTTGAAATGTAGAAAAACATTAAGGAAGCCCCAAATTTCTAACCCGTGTGTAATTTTGAGTTCTAGGAGGGTGGTGAGAGTGTGGCAGGCTCTGGACTCAGGTGACCACCATCCAGTAGAAGATCTTTGGAAAATATGATTTCAGTCAGAATGCTGCTAAGCAGGATACTTGGCTCTGGAATGAAACATTTTTAGATGTCTTGGTTAAATTGGCAGGAATCTTTTTGTTAAGATTCTTTGATGAAAAGTGCATTTTACGATTCAAATTTGGCTCTGAGAATTATAGACCAAAATAGCTTTTTCTTCATTTGAGGCAGATTCTTCATTTTGAAATGGCACATTTGCCAACCAACTGAAGCAATATTTCACTTTTCAGGAAAGAGTTCTAGTAAACACATTCACAAAATTACCTTTTTATGGAATGGCAAATGAAGAGAAGTAATGCTATAAAAATATACAGATGTTTCTTGTATGGCCAGCTGCACAGCTTAAAATTCCATTCAAGAACTAGTTATTTAGCTGTTACTATAAGCAAGATATGTGTAAGGCCTGATGGACAGAGTAACAAAGAAGATTACCCTGCCCTTGACCTCATGTAGCTTTATATCCCAGTGTGCATTACTCTCCAGCTCTGTCTTGGGTTCTTACATTTGCTTAGTCTAAGTCTTATCTTTCAGGTCTTTGTTGAACAGCCAAGCAGGTGCCTAGTGTTCTCTTTCTTCTATCAGTCTTTTGTCACTTCTTAATTTCAATGCTCATTTAGTATTTGGTATTTGGTATGTCAAGTTGGCTTATTTGCTACATAGTTCACATGTCCACTGTCTCTGCCAGTATATGAAGTTTCCAGCATTGAAGGAAGTATTCATTTTATTTTCTTTTTTATGGAGAAAAAGTATATATTTGGAATTAGCCAGCTGGACTCAGATTAAATGATCCCAATTTTGTTGGCATCATCCAGAGCATCATAATCAGGAGCCAACCATCAGGCCTTATGAGGGTGTTGACTTTGGCCACATCAGTGTCATAGAGCTTCTTTACAGCCTGTTTGATCTGGTGCTTATTGCCCTTGATGTTCACAATGAACACAAGTGTGTGTTGTTGTCTTTTATCTTCTTCATGGCTGACTTGGTGGTCAGGTGGAATTTGATGAGGATGTAGTGGTCAAGCTTCTTTCTCCTGGGCATGCTCTTTCCAGGGTATTTGGGCTGCCTCCAGAGCCTCAGTGTCTTGGGCCACAGGATCTTCTTTTTGCAATTGTGGATGGTTTCTTGGCTTTCAAGGCCTTCGCTTTTGCTTCGGCTTTGGGAGGGTCAGGAGCTTCCTTCTTCATTTTCCGCACCATCTTGGCAAAAAGCTTTTAAATGTGTAGCCCAGGCTGACCTCGAACTCGTGATCCTCCTCCCTCTGCCTCCTTCAGCAAATCCTACCGTCGTGGGCCACCACACCTGGAAGAATGAATTTTCATAGGAGAAATTTGTTATTACTGCCTACAACCTAAAATGCATATGTGGAGAAATAGATCATAGAGCATAATGCTTCATTTGAAGACATGCACCATTTAAAACGACAGTGTAGAGTGAACCCAATGTCAACTTGTAAGTACTTTGAGGGAGGACAGAATATTATGTAGAAATATGTAATAATGATGAGATACATAGAGGTCAAAATGGAGTTAGAGATCTATGGATTGGTGTTCCAAGAAGAAAGTAAAACTAGAAAGTAACTAATAGGAGAGAATATGGCAAAAGAAAAGAAACAGCATCAGGGATTTATCTGGTAACTTTAAAAAGCTGGTGTGATCCTGGGGACCATGGTAAAGACATGGTGATGGCGTCATAGGCAGTGGCCATATTATACAGAGTACACCAATGTGTGTTTGTGTGTGTGTGTGTGTGTGTGTGTGTGAGAGAGAGAGAGAGAGAGAGAGAGAGAGAGAGAGAGAGAGAGTGTATCTGCC